CAACGCCCCCACCAATGGGCGCTCCGCGCGCGCGGACCCGGATCAGGAAACGCGCGGGTGGGTGATGGATGTCGCTGTCCTGTCCGAGGCGGGGGCAGTCAGCTGGGGCTTCGGTCCTCCAGCCCCACTGACTTGAATTCCTGCTGGGAATTCGAGGCTTGGCGGGCCGTGGATCCTCTGGGGCCGGTTGCGGGTCCCACTTCTGATCAAGCCCTCTGAGAAGCTAGGCGGCTGTGGTTCAGCGCTGACCTCCAGCTCATCCAGGGTTTCGAGGCCCACTGGGAGAGGGAAGGGCATCGAGACCAAGGGGCATCCCGGTTTTTATCCTAGCCCTGGAATAAAACGAATGAGGCCAACACACCCATTTGCTCACCCTTTGATTCCTTCCCCACACACTGCAGTCTGGTCTCTGGTCTGCTCCATAGTCCTTTCTTTGAGAAGCCTGGCAGGATCCTCAAAAGAGTGGGGAGATGGGAGGGCAGCTGAGAGAAATCTAAAGGAGGATGTAAAGCGGGGCCATCCAATGTAACTAGATGGACACTTTCCATATTTTTTCCCTATTTCTTTTTAAGACCGACTCTTTTTTTTTTTTTCCTAAAACAATGTTGGGACCTTCCTAATAGCATCTAATTTGACGGAGGTGTGGACATGAAAACTAAATATGTCTGTTTTTACTAGATGCGACTGTGAGAGACTGTGGCCCAAGGATGAGAATGGATAGAAGCAGCGACTCCACAAAACCGAGCTTTGAAACCAGTACCTTCCTATTTTAGAATAGTTTCCCAACAACCCCTTGTCGGGTCTGACCGTGAACTGGTCTTTTCGAGCTAAGAATTTTGCTTTCTCTTCTGGACACTGCTTTCTCAAAATTAATCTGGAGCTAGAGTTATATTTACAGGACGGTCTATAATTTCTGAATTGCTGAAAATTAGCATATTAACAATATCAATAGTTCCGGAAGGAGGGAGAGGGAACTGTTGCCTGCCATTTGGTAATTGAAATTTGATGGGTAAACTAATTATGCCATTATTAACAAATAAATTACTTATTCATTGTACCTAATGTTGATCTTTGAAGTAAATATTGATACCTTAATGTGTGCCTTTCCTTTTTGACTTAGAGACACACCTAGGACCTATACTTTTCAGGCTAGATTAAAGCAGTGAAAACTAGCATAGCCACTATTCTAAAAATAACTTTCATGTTGGCATGCATAACAAGGAAATTTCAGCTGGTACACCTTAGTTGATTTTTCAAAGAGCGGTATAAACAGATTACTCACAACTGGGTCTGGAACGCAGACAAGGAAAGTTATAGCCCAAGCCTGGAGACACTTCAAAACGAATGTCAATTCTATCTTCATTTATATCGGTTACTCATATGAATTACTAAATGCTGGAATATATCCATTTGATGGATAGTCATTTAATGCTTAGCCACATAAAGCCTATTATATGGGACTAATCTTTAAACTAATTTAGGAAAAGAGGTTAAAAAAGAGATCGTGTTAGCTTTCTGACTGGAATCTGGAATTGCCCTGAAGTGGTACAAAGAGGTTTTCCACATTGGGTATATGTGAAGAGTGCTGTCCATTGATGTGAGGCCCTCTGGAAACTTTTTGTTTTTAATGAAATCTGAGTCAGACAGAAATCAACACTGCCTATAATCTTTAGACATCCTTTCTAGACTGAGGGGAGGGATCTAGCTTGTAATACGGCTGCCTTAAACCAATACCTCTCCCTGGTAAGAAAAAAATATGTACATAAAGGGTAATTATGCAATATATAGCAATATCAGAAATCTGTCTCTGACATATAAACACACCTAGGTCCTCTACTTTTCAGGCTAGATTAAAGCAGTGCAAACTAGCATAGTCACTATTCTAAAATAGTGTCTAAGGTTCAGGGGGAGGAAAAGCATGACAAGGAAATCTTGCCCTCCTCATATCATCAGCTTTGAGTCCCAGGGTCTTAAGTATGTATGTTTAAATTTTACAGACACTGAAACACAGCATTCATGTTGTTCAGCCTCAGAACCTTCTATGGTTAAATTCTTTCTATTTTTAAATTTTAAGGAGGCACAGGTCCTATTTTGTATATGGTTACCCCAAATGAGTTAACTGTGCCTGTGTTTCATGCGGTCCTATTACTTTAGGAAGATGGGCTTACACAGAATTCCCCCAAGGCCTGTAACTTGTCTTTGTGGTTCCTATCATAAACACAAACGGAGCCAGGACCACCAAGTGTTATCTCACACACCGACATTTTGACATTTTACTGCAAGATTTATAGCTATAATAAACAATCTCGGTACCTTTTCTGAACCTTCCACAATCTCCCTTTGCAAGCCATAGCATAATTCTGTTGAGTCAAATAATCTTTTGAAAAACACCTCTTGCTTTCATATCCAAAACACCAAAAGAAGAAAACTAGGAAGATACTCAATTAAAAAATAACCTGAAGTTTACCAGAAGCTTCTTGCTTGAGAAAAGATGGGATGCTCTGAAATCGAGCAGAGAGGGAGCAAGCTAATCTTCACGCACCAACTGGCTCGAGTCCCAAGCAGGGTGAAAGCGTTATCCTTTTCTTGGGAAACTGGTGAGCACATTTGCTCATTTCCACGTGGAGGGATAACATACATTCCCAACAAAAGCTTTCTTAAAATCCCATTAAGAGAAATAACTTTTCACCGTGTCTTCGCATCCCAGATGCAGAAGGAGAGAGAAGGGAGTCCAAGACAGAGGGAGGGCGACAGGGAGGCAGTGTTTGCAGCTTGGTTTGAATCTGATTTGAATCATTTTGAATATATTTGGAACAGCCTTCCCTCTTGAATGCAACCCTGTCCCAAGTTTCAAAGTGACCGAACAGTGACACCGTGTGCATTTTGTTTCTTATTAATCTTACACATTGACAGTCTTTGTTAAATCACAAGGCGCGCCCTTCACCAGCCGACATTTTCATATTTGTTAGACGCGCTGACCTGAAGTTCACCTCGGCCTTGGACTTTGCGCTTCTAAAAGGTCTATACAGTGTCTTTTAGAGAGCAGGGTGCTTTGCCCAGGTCATTCCTTCTCAGGAAAAACCAAGGGCAAAAGCAAAGGAAATGTAAACGTTATGGAATGTATTGACTGTATTTGTCCTTTGTTCTTTAGAGCCAGAATCACTCAGTCTGTTCTCTATCTGTCTCGTCTCTGGAGCAAACTGGAGAATAGCAGAAATTCAAAATGCCTGATGTGGCACTTAGGGCCTTCCCCTCATCTACCCTAGACATCGTTGTACAGGAATAACACTTTACCAAACATTTGACCCATTAATTGTTTGGGGGTAGTTTCCTGGTAGCACTTTAAAATGATGAACACAACCCAGGTATAAGAACTGAAATTCATTTTAGGATTTCACATAAATTTTGAATAGCATTACGTGAGAGGCCTAAAGATCAAAACCTGAATAAAGAGATTTCTTAAAAAATCTGTAACTTCTTCCAGTATCATTTTCTTTCATTTTGAAGACTAGCTTGGAAGTATCTGTGAGTATCCAAGCTAAAATATTTCTAAGGTGTGTTACACTGTTTTAACAATAAGTACATGAAAAGATTCTCTCCAAGAGACAGGATTGTCTGCGTAAGAGAGGGAGTTTACGCGTGTTTTTTTTTTTCACTAGCCCAGATGTGGTAATGTGTTCACTAATGTAACAGGACTTACCACAGTTATTTCCTTTCTTCTATTCCATCTGGCAAAACCCCATTTGGCTCTAAGCTCTTGGCCAGAGTAAAAACTTTACACACTGCCCAGCAGAAGCATCCTGATTATTTCCATGAAAGCACTGTTTGGGAAATATTTACTTCACCACTGAACATAGGCACTATTAAACCTAATCAACCTGAATACATTGGGATGATCTCAAACATCTCTTCAAGAGTCTATATTCTATGTAGTTGGATTACCTCCAAAATTAAGAAGAAACCCCTAGGAAAATAGTTTTTTCCACCACTGTTTTCCCACAATGATCACTTGAAGGTCAATACATAGAAAAGAAAGATGTGTCCCCCATAAAATAGATTCTAATGGTATCAACACTTAAAGCTAATCTAGATCCATAAAATATTGTTTAGCTCTTCAGTTGCAATTCACACATGACTCATGGTTCCAGTCTTCTTCTCTAATGTACTATTCTCTTTATTTTCTGCTCTCCTACCCTTCTTCCTCAGCTTACTTTCCCCTCTGCTCAGCCACCTCCCCCGCAACTCCACATGTATTTTTAAGAAGTATTTTCTGGAGAAAAGAAGTCTATCATGGTCTTACAAAGTGGCCTGGCAATTATGGATTCTACCTTTCTGCATTCTCTACAGTTATTTACTTGTAGGTTGTAGCATTTATTTTAAACTCAGTTGTGTTTTTGAACAAATATAGCAAAAATCTGCAATTTCAACAATGTGAGTGTTTTCCTCACGCCAATCAACATTGTCTCACTGCTGGTGGTGGTAAGAATTCTGTTCCTTTCTGGAGGGTTTTCCACTTCCTTCCCTCCTCTTCCCATCTCTATGAATTACTTGCATTCAGTGGGTTACAATTTCAGAAAAAAACATTTTCTGTGTTTGAAAATTGCAAAGAAAACATTTTGCAAAAAGTGGCTGTATTTGCCCTTATTCTTGCACATTTTAGGGGTTGCTATATGTGCTAAAAGGGGGAAAAAACTCTGGCTAATCCAAATTCTCTTTTTCAAATTAAAGAGGTTTGCTGTGTGGTTCTCTTGCCTTTGAGGGTAGACTGGAACACTGGGAACTTGCTACATTATTTCTTAAGGCCCACTACTGAATTTTGAGCATTTTTATTTTGTGAC